TACTGTCATTCTATAATATCATTGCGCAAGTATTTCTGTATTGGCCTTGTTATTGGTCCATGTCTAGGGTGTATTGGTCTGAGGCGAAGTGAAAGGCCAATACTGCTGGCCGAGGACCAATAATAAGGCCAATACAGAAATACAAGTAATAGTATCTTTATTAATTAACTACAGTGTTACAATATTTTTTTTATTTCATTTCACAAGAGATAAACATTTTTACCTTGAAGTGGAACTATCCAAATCTCAGTTTCTTTTTATAAGATGCAATATCTAATGATTCGGTGCCGTTTGAAGTATCTTCAGCCTTTTCTCATCTGATGAATTTTTCTACCCTTTCCAGTCACTATAAAGTGTTACAACTTTAATTTAGACACAACACATAAATAGTAATTGGAAAGGTACTGCCATTGCATGTGTAATGCAAATATATTTAAAAAAAAAATAATGTAATAGTTGAAATTGATACAACTATCCATAAGCCAATTGACCAAAGAACGAAGATTTGCACAATTACAGAATGCATATGCCTGGTTCGGGTTTAAAAATAAACGATCGTTTAAATACAAAACATGAGAAGCGACAGTAAACAGTAAAAATCTATTTGTACCATCGACATGATGAAATTATGAGGTCGTCAAGAAATGAACTTTGTGATAATTTACTCGTTCCCCAAACTTGAAATAATCCCATCGTCTACTTTCAAAATGCTTTTTAAATGAATGGGACCGTCTTTAACCTAAAATATATGCCATACTGAACGTTTCAGCTTGCTTATGGTGAGTAAACCTGCTTCTTACAAACAACTGTTTACTTTCAGTTTGAGTTTATCGTGACTTACGATCTAAAAACTAGAGGCGTTCCGAAATCCTGTTTTGTAAACAAAGATTCATATGCACCGCGTGGGTATAACCGTATTACTAATTTCCGATTTTTAAAATCTTCGTAAATCTGGATAAAGACCAGTTTCTATCCAATGGATATCAAAATGATTCCGATTTTCACTTTTTTTAATGATTGTAAAGTTGAAATGGCATGAAAGGCTGACATTATTTAGGAGAACTATTTTGTCTAGCGATTGCTGATCATTGGAGGGTAAAAAGTCCAACACCATAACAAAACGGATCTATTTATCATGTATACATACCGATTGTTTACGATTGTAAGACATGTGCATAAAAGTGAAAGCTCGAATAAATATGAAAATATAACAAAGGGATAGCTCCAAATACCATCTAATAACAAAAAACATATGGACAGGTCAAGATATCTTTTTGGTAAATAAAATAAAGTATGTAAACTGGTTCCCGTCCGACTACAACACTTTGTTCGAGTGTAGCGTAATACAAGCAGATTCCAGTTAGTATGTAAAATAGTAAATATGAAACCGAGTGCGGTAGGCGGAGGCAATAATCGACTTCCGTAAGTTCTGGTCAATGGTATCGGAAACATACTGCTGATAGCGTCATTTTCCAAAAATGCTTTGTTTGATGTGTTTACGATGGTTTAAACGTGTCTCTATGAAAAGTTTTATGCACAATATATTGTTTGAACAAGGCTTCAGACAGCTTCAACTGGTTTGAATAAGTTGGGTAATTTCAGAACTGATCCAGATTGGCATAAAGGTCAACCAATCCACTCCCTCCTATTTAGAACGTATGTAAAAGTAGCCCTACTGTTGTGAACATATATTTGTTCCGCATAATACTTGTTCCCCCTGGAACAAAACTATGGATGATAAAAGTTCTTGGGAACAAACATTACATAATATTATTTCCACCTTCATAAGATATTTTCCTGGAACTAAAACGTCATATGGTTTCATAATATTTGTTCCTTTAAAGAAAGAGTGTCATTTGATTTTTTACACCTGATTACATCTAAATTAATGTTCACCTCACATGACATTTACCTGTACATGTAGTACATACAAAGAATGGAGTCTGAGGAATACAAAATTTTTTTTACATATTTAAACGATGGCTCTTACTCTAAACAAGGTAAGAATATAATTTTTAATATTTTATTACTGCATGCTCCACTGTGACTTACTTAACTATATGGTCCGTTAGTCTGTACCAATGAAGAAAGTTTAGCTTATACTTTAGTCAAGCATGAAGTTAGCCACAAATTTCAGATGAAAATGCCTGCATGTACTTTATTATTGGAAATTTATTTCCATACATTTGTATCTAGAAATAATTTTTGATATTGTAGTATATATTCATATAATAAATATTTCTAGAACTTTAATTATCTAATAACCATGATAACTATTCCTGGAACATTTATAATATAGCCAATATTCCAATATGCCTGGAACTTTTATAATAAAACAAATATTCCTAGAACTTTTATAATATAACAAATATTCCTGGAACTTTTTATAATATAACAAATTTTCCTGGAACTTTTATACTATAACAAATATTCCTGGAACTTTTATTATATAAAACATTGTCCATAATATTTATTCCAAAGAACTTTTAGCATATAACAAAAGTTTCATTGGGAACTTTCCTTATGTAATATTTTATCCTATAGCATTGGATAAAATATTATATAAGGACAGTTCCCAATGGAACTTTTGTTATATGCTAAAAGTTCTTTGGAACAAATATTATGGGGGAACTTATATTCTGTCACACTCTGACACAAAATAGTGTTTTTGATGTCATTGTTTACTTAAGCTAACCAACAAATTTGCAGAAATGAAACTTTTGGCGAAAAAGAAATATATTTAGACCATTTTGAGCCAAAATTTACTTGTCTATGAGTTTGCATTAAAAACTGAGGATTGATTGCGATCCCTAGTATACTAATTTAAGAATTCCAGAAAACCAGGGATTATTTTTAGTAGTACTTGGCTTCCGAAAGGCAGTTCTTTCTTAAAAGACTTTAAACATGGGTTGGAAATTGGCACGAAGAAAGGTGATACATGTACAATTCAGGATATACCTGTAACCTGGTTTCTATGAAGTTAAAACTTGAGGTAAAATATTAAGAAAGCTGTGAAAATTGCAGAATTTTATTGAATAGATAGGGTTTTGAATTGGTGGTCTGACATCTAAATAGGGATAAGGTGTATACGAATCCCTGATATCTCGGCCTATAACAAAATCGGACTATAACAAACTCGGCCTATAACATAATCGGCCTCACAAAATCGGACTATAACAAACTCGGACTACTAGAAGAATATAAGTATGATGTTGGATGTTGTTTTCTTTATTGGAAATTAATTATCAATACTTAATTTGCAATTAATTATGATTTACAATTAATTAAATAATCATTTTGAACATTTTAGAAGCGAGTAATATAAATTACGTTAACAAGATATGTATTAAATGAAAAGTAATAATAAATTCATTTAATAATGAAAATCTAGCACTTATTTGTCTTTTCTGTATTATTATTTGTATGTCCCTCTCATTAAGGTCTTTCCTTTCACTATAAGGAAAGACTTTACTGTATTTCTTCTGATTATTGTTATTATTATTATTCTTTCCGTCAAACTTTCAACGACATTTCCCAAAAAAAGTACTCGACATGTTAAAATGATATTAGGTATCTTTTATCATATGCATATCTTATATGATTGAACTGGGAATATGACATCATGCCACGTGTATCGTTGACACCTTTTTAATTACCTGAATTTAAACTAACAACTGGCACATGTACTGTTGACACCTATTTAATCACCCAAAGTGAGAACAAAACTACCTGTAATTACATAAAATTGTAATTAACTAAATATCCAATAACTTTGCAGTAGCAGCTTGTGTATAACAATAGATGTAATAGCCATTATGTCTATGGTATAACTGACGGTTTTTTTTTTTGGTTTTTTTTAGTTTGATTACAATTCTTATGTAATTATAAGACAGTGTAGTGAATTATATGTTTCTGATCATACTTTTATTGGTAACGGTTGAATCCCAGCGGTTTGTGAGAAAAAGAAATCTCTGTTGTTTTTTCAATTTTACTCCACATCTATTTTGAGAAATATGTATTATAAATGTTTGCGTCAGCTTGCCTTTCTAAAAACATTGTATCTGTTTGATGTGACAATTTAATTTTAAATATAATTACTTTTCCATTAATAAAGAATTACAGATAAGTGAAATTGTAAAGAACCTATTCACTGTCAATCAAATTTCTCTTTGTTTGTATACTCATAATGAACATCAAGGATTAAACACAATACAAACATGCACACATGCCAATCATTAAAACATCTTTTGTCAATAAACATAACAAACGAGAAAATCTCAATAAAATTTCAAATAGAAGTAAATTATCCTCATTCAAAAATATCAAATTCAACTCATATAACACATATTTTAATGATGGATCTACATTTATTTTAATACATTTCTATATATTGTTTTTTTTTTTAAATATTTATCATTTTCTCATAAATTCGTTTATAATTTTTTTATATATAAAGTTGTTTTTTTTTAAAGTCAGAAAAAAAAGTTAACAACACAATCTACTAATCGTAGTCCGAGTTTGTTCAATATATTTCTGCATATAAATAGTGGTAGGCCGAGTTTGTTATAGTCCGAGTTTGTGATAGTCCGATTTTGTGATAGGCCGATTTTGTTTTAGTCCGAGTTATCCAGCAGCGGTGTATACAACAGGTGCCACTTGTGAAACATGATTTGCTTTATTTACCCTTCCATAGCACCTGCACCTGATATCACCTGTTTAAGATGGGATTTGTGTTGTTCAGTTATTAGAGTTCCCATCCCCAACAAATAAGTTATCGCTGTCTACATAATTACGTGTAAAATAGCAACATTATTTCCGGTATACTGAATATCATAACAAGTAAGATTTTTGGCGCAATAAAATTATCTCCCCTGACCGCGTGTTTACAAATGTTGTGGTCAATACACATGTAAATGCATTTATTTTAAGACCAGTGCAATAATCAGTATCAAAAACATATCATATTAAACAAATACAGAACCAATAACAAACGGACTAACTTCTTCGTTCAGTTCTTGAGTATTTTTAAAGAATGTTCTTGTTCTCACAGATATCTGGCTTAATTTAATGATATATCTAACAACCACAACTAAGAAATTGGAAAATGTGCTATGCCATCCTCCGGCTATTTAATTGAAGTCCGTTCAGTTGTTTTTACCTTACAATATATAATATAGGTAAAGCACTTTCAGTGAAAATAAATCGATATTCCCTTTCTCAAAAGGTGATATCAAAACAAGTATATTTTTTTTTACTTCGCTCATTAAAATACTACGTTTCTTGGAGTAAACCGTTCACTAAGTTAAAATTAATCGTAACAGAGACATGTAATACAATTATTGTATTATATGTCTCTGGTCACAACAAATGGACGAAAATGGCTGTATTTACACCTAGGAAATTACACTGAGTACAGACACACCTGTGCAGCTGGAAAAGTTTTAAGGGCCTTGTATCCACGTACTAGATATATAAAAGTTAAATGCATTTTCTGTTTCAGAAAGGTACAATTTTGGGGGGATTTGGTGGAAATTTTGTTTCATCACTGCAGATGATGATAACAAAAACACCTTAATTGAATTTGATACTGTCCACTCAGTTACACCCTTTAAATCACCTATTGTTGTGTAGATATCGCAGATTGTCCTAGCTTCTACAATACAATACAATACAATACAAACTATCATATCAATGCTAAGTATATATGATAAAATGATTTATCAACCTCATCAAAAGTCAATAATTGTATAGTGTTATACATGTATTATGTTCCAGGTTTTAATAATGAATGAATTTATGAAAATTATATGTAACATATGAGTACCAATTATCAGGGATGCAAATAAATAAATTAGTATCTAAAATCTCAACTGTAATGAAGAAGAAAAATGATTTTCAGGGTTCCAATTCACAAGGATTTAAAATTCTTGAATCTCACAGAGCCGCGGAAAAAATAAGCATGCATAGCAGCAGATGAAAATAAATGATCAATCAAGAAAAAATCCTCCTGTCCTGAATTTAGATCAGTAATGAGAAAATTCAGACTGACTTGTCCAATATGACTTCAAAACACGTTAACACTTACACTGTCCTGATATCCCATAGTCCCCCAGGACTTGCATTTACACATACATTCTGTATGGTTGTCACAGATGGTTTCAACGATTAGACCAACACTGAAGGGACAATATACCAGATGCATTCAGGAAGGTATGAACAATAAAATATATGCATCCAGATAATAAAGAAAATTGAGTTACTATTTTCTGTCACATTTTTGTTTCACTGGTTCCATCTATAATGTACGTTTTGGCCTCAAAATTTCAGCTAAGTCTACATACTGGATGTACAGGAATTGCCACCAAAATATATAGCTATAATACTTCTTATTATGTATAAAATAATTTTAATTATCATTGCTATGTTCTATTAGTCTCGGAAGTAACAATAATGATTTCTTATTGTTACATTTTTACGGTTAACCGTAGCCAGTGCCTTAAATAAAATAGTCAACCCCGAAAAGGTAAAATCCAATGGTAGCTGTATACACGTTTCTATTTACAACTAAACCCCAACAGTGCTTTTAATGTACTTGTGCAAGAATCTGCACAGTTTAACAACTTAAACCTCAATGCATCCTATTAAATATTTTCAATACAGGTGTTATAACATAAATTGTACCTTATTCACAGTCATTTATTTAAGGAATGATTGTAATATTTTTTCTGTCTATGAAGAAATAACATCAAAAATGTGGTGCACACTGAATAACCCGCGTAGCGGGTTATTTTAAAGTGTGCACCACATTTTTTATGTTATTTCGAATAGACAGAAAAAAATTACAGTCATTTCTTATAATTTAATTCTAAATTCCATTTTAAACCGGAGTAAACCATGAAAAAACGTTGATGACGTCACGGTCACATGACAAAATTATGTCTATGAGCTGATAAACAAAACAACGTCAGCCAATCAGAAGACGTGTTACATCCAAAATTAAATTATTTCATGGCAAAAGCAAAAATCAGCAACAATTTATGGTGACCTCTTTCAAAGAAAGGCAAAGATGCCAAAGGAACATTAAAACTCATTAGTCAAGCACAGACTGACAGTGGCGGATCCAGAACTTTTTGTAAAGGGGGGGGCACTGACTGACCTAAGGGGGGCCCGCTCCAGTCATCCTTCAGTGATTCCCTATATAATCAACCAAATTTTTCACACAAAAGGGGGGCCCGGGACCCCCAGCCCCCCCCCCCCCCCCCCTGGATCCGCCTATGACTGACAATGCCATGGTAAAAAACTAAAAAAGATTAAAACAGTATACAACACACAAAATGTCACATATTGCTTTTCTTTTTTGAAAGAAAGCAACTTTTTTTCAAATGATATGAGTTTTTTTTAATCGCGTTTAATGAAGCAAAACTTAGACGGGATAATAGGATTTTTTTTCAGTACACAAATTAATTGCGTAACTAAGGTCTTTGTCATATTCAGTTCGTTGTGGTGTACTATGCATTTTCTTAGTTTTTTTTCTCTCGGTAATTTGTAATTTCTTCAACTGTCGTATTTTTTTTTATTTCAGAATGATATTTTGAAAACTTCATTAGATTTTACAAATAAGCATTCGTAAATAGTTGTATCAGTATACTTATACGATTCATATATCAATGTGTATTTATTATTTTACATAATTAAAAAAATACAACTAAATTATTACGACATCATCTAAATGACCATCGAAAACAACACACGTACCACTTTGTCCTGAGTTCAATACCACTTATTATTTTTAACTTAATCTGAAGTTGAATAGGTATATTTCAGTTAGAGTGATTTGTAAACCATTTTAAATATACTTCCTAACGATAAATAGCACGGTTGTTTTACCAAGAAAGTAGACCCATGGGCCAACTTTTCTATGCATGATCGGACCAGTATTCGATATACAAAAGTTTTATTTAGATTCGGTTTGGTTACAAACTAGATAAATTAAGCTCTATATAGCTTTTAACGTAAAACATGCAAACATATACAACCATATAGAAAGCATAATCATGCAAGCAAACTCAAATTTATAGCACACTAATATGAGGCAGGCGTTTCATGTGAAAGGGGACAAGGTCCGTATCAATTATTTTTTTAATTCTAACATATTTTAATGTTCAAAAAGAAACGGAAATACCGTAACGTTTCCGATGTTGGTCCTCTTGTTAGGAATACAAAGTCTCACGACAAACGAGACCGCAAGAAAGAAAGAGATTTCTGCACAAATGCGGGAAAATAAAAAAGTTAACGATTTTGAGTTCATTAGTACATTGGAAATTATATATATTTTTTTTATTAATTTTTCTACTGTTCTAGAGGACTTCATCCCCTTAATAAGTTATAAGCATGTACATAAATTTGGCCGTTAGTTTTCTCGTTTGAATTGTCTTACATTTGTCGTTTCGGGGCCTTTTATAGCTGACTATGCGGTATGGGCTTTGCTCATTGTTGAAGGCCGTACAGTGACCTATAGTTGTTAATTTCTGCGTCATTTGGTCTTGTATAGAGTTGTCAGTGGCGGATCCAGATATTTTCACAAGGGGGTGGGGGCACTGACTGCCATAAGAGGGGGCCCACTCCAGTCATGCTTCAGTGGTTCCTAAATAATGAACCAAATTTGTCCCACAAAAGAGGGGGCCTGGGCACCCTGCCCCACCCCCCACCCCCTAAATCTGCCTCTGGTTGTCTCATTGGCAATCATACCACATCTTCTTTTTTATATGGCAAAGCAAATTATACATACACATATGAAAATTTTAGTTTGATTTGTTTCACATATAACAGTACAGACATAAGCTCTTGAGAGCTTTTTACTGAAGGTAAATAACATATACATAACACTAAAAAAGGGATCATGCAGATAAGATATTGTATAAGCAACATGTATTACAATGCATAGAGACAGCACAAGCTTATTTGCAAAGCACTACTAAACTTTACATCTATACATGCTAACACTGATGCATAACTAAAATTAATGCACAACTAAAAATTATAGCAAACATCCAAAATTTAAGGCATAATGCAAAAGTTGAGCAACTCAGTTTAAATGGAAAGCACTATAACTAAAAATGATACATGAAAAGCTTATCTACATGCAGAATGACGACATTCTGATCCATTCCAGGACTGTATATAAGGCTCTTGAATTGTGAAAAACTACACAGAGTAGCAGCTGTAAATCTAAAAATTTTCTTTCCAAACTTGATTTTACATGGGGAATATCCAGTATATTACTGTATTTGAAATTAATATTTATATACATGCTAGCATTAATGTATCATTGTCATTTTGCTTAGTTTCTTTTGCTACCTTTTCTGACATAGGATTCTTTTAAACTGAGTTTTACTGTGCGCATTGCTGTGTGTTTGTTCATTCTACATTAGCTAGAGGTATAGGGGGAAGGTTAAGATCTCACAAAACATGTTTAACCCCACTGCATTTTTGCGCCTGTCCCAAGTCAGGAGCCTCTGGCCTTCGTTAGTCTTGTATGTTTTTAATATTAGTTCATTTATATGATTTGGAGTTTAGTGTGATGTCCATTTTCATTGAACTAGTACACATTTTTGTTTAGGGGCCAGCTGAAGCCCACCTCAGGGTGCAGGATTTTCTTGCTGTGTTGAAGACCCAATGGTGGCCTTCTGCTGTTTTCTGCTTGGTCGGGTTGTTGTCTCTTTGACACATTCCCCATTTCCATTCTCAATTTTAGCAAAAATATAAAAGAGCAAAGTAATATAAAATAAGCACAGTGAAATAAAATAAGGGCACTGGCTACAATTACATTGAAAACGGAACAATAACAAAAAAGTTATTGTTACGTTGGACACTAATTGCCGAAATGCTAGGTTGGATTAGGAACCGATTAATTACGAACCTATTCACCCTGAACAAATCTATCAGTTAAAGTGACTCGGATTCCTATGTTGAAATTAAAGTATTATTATCAGGGCTAAAGAATGAAAGGGTTTTATCATCTGCATGATTATACAGTGAACCCTTTTTGATAAATCAAAATATATCATTGTAGAAATGTAGAGAAGAAGGGGACCAAGGATAGATCCTTTGGGTACCCCTTTCTGAATGTCAGTCTTGGTTCTAATAACAGAATTTGATTTAATCTGTTGCTTTCTAGCTGATGAGCATAATTTTAGAAGAGAAGATGAATGAGCTGAAACGCCATATGCCGACAATTTGTCAAGCAAAATTTCATGTGATAGGCAGTCAAAATATAGATTTTTTATCAAATGCAGAACGCCAATCTTCAATGCTAGAGTGATAAGAAGGGTCACATATCAGATCATTCCTGATTTTATTGGCAACAGTAGAGAAAAAAGAATTAAAATGTTCTGATACCAGCTGTTTTGTATCCTTAATTATTTGATTATTTTCTAATAAAACTACTATTTGAACTTTTTATTTTATTTTTGAAAAATGGCCGACAGGATATAGCCAATAGTGCTGAAAGTGGCATTAAACACCAATCAATTAATTTATAACAAAAATTAATGTACATGTATTGCTAATCTATGGTTAAAAACATTCCATTTCATTGAATATAAATATAAGAACATTATATTGTTTATCTCATAAAGAGAGCGCAGCAATACCATTTTGTTTATGGAATTAACAACAACAATATAATTTCTCCTAGATTCAAGTTAAGTTAAAATACTAATAGAAATTTACGGAGATGATTTTTTTCTCTGGGAATAAAGTCAAAGTGTTGACCTTGTAGACTTTTTTGAACATTCTCTCAATAAAGCATTGTTTTATGCAGACTAGTCAGTGTTTTCTTTCATTTCAGTCAATGATACATGATCATGAGTGTTCATCAACAGATTCTGATTTTCTGCTAAACAAGTTTGCTACTTCATTAATCAATAAATGATGATCCTTGATACATATATTAACAGTATGACTATGAACATAATGGTGTATTTCCTTCCAAAATCTTGTGTCAGAGATGATTTATTTGTAAAAATTTTCATCGCATTAAGCTCCCGCCATTTGCAAATATTAAGCATGGATAGAATGGGGACTGACAATGACCAAAATCTGAATATATGTGATGATAACTTAAATTAGATACAGGACTTGGCTGATATAATATTTGATAATTAGCCAGCAAGTGAAAAATATGCCCTCAACATTCATTATTGCATTGTAGACATTTTGTTAGAATCTCTTTAATAACAGCTATATTTGAACCCATGCATTTGCTTTGGTTTAAACTCATTGATAAAAGATACATTTGTTAAATTACTCATTCTACAATGTGAAACAAAGGATACCTATAAACAGAATATTGCAATATGCATATATTGGGCATGTTTTTTTGCTTCTTGAGCATCTGTTTATTATGCCCCACCTAGGGCATTATGTTTTTCGGTCTGTGCATCAGTTTTTTCGTCCGTTCGTCCGACTGTTTGTCCGTCTGTCCCGCTTCAGGTAAAAGTTTTTGGTCAAGGTAGTTTTTGATGAAGTTGAAATCCAATCAACTTGAAACTTAGTACACATGTTCCCTATGATATGATCTTTCTAATTTTATTGCCAAATTAGAGTTTTGACCCCAATTTCACGGTCCACTGAACATAGTAAATGATAGTGTGAGTGGGGCATCCGTGTACTATGGACACATTCTTGTTTTAGTTTAAGTATTTTTGTATTTAAAACTTTGGTGGTAATATACATTGTATGTACCTTTTGCCAGCTCTCTATTTTTGCATTCTATTTTGCAACATTGATTTTGTTATTTTTTCTGTTAGCAGAGTAATAGCTGTAAATATCCATGACAAGTAATGTGGAGATAACGTTTACTCAGAGAAGGAAATGATAGGCAACAAGAATGAAGGTTTATCAATAACACTTGGATTTCCAGATGAACATGGCTATGACAATAAAAAGAAACAGTCAGTTTACAGGGTAATAAAATCTATTTTTAATCAAACAATTGGAAAATGGTGGTCATGAGTGTAAATGTAATTCTATCTCAGTACACCATAATAGAAATGAAAGGATTTGGCGGTATTCATCAATGTCACAAAATCTGTACATGCACAGCAAAAAAATACTAAAAGCAAAGAAACAGAACCTTTAGTGCTGTTCTTCATCTCAAAGTCAAAATTGTCAGATAATCTTTGTTGGAGTTATTGCCTTCCAATATATGATAATTTATACCAATATTTTAGCAATATTGGCTATTATTTGCAAAGAACAATAGATAGGAGAAGCCAAAAAATGACTGGCATGACTAGATCTATAAATAATACAATGTTGCCAACATCATCAATCAGTCATCTCCTTATAGAAGTTATTGCATTTTTAATGATCATTTTTATCCATTTTTTTGTGTGTAAATACTTTAGTTTATTGAGAGAATCTGCATTAAGAAAAAATTAACAGCAGGACAAGATCTACAACTAAGTCAAAATTTCTTAAATCATCCGTAAACTCTTAAGTAAAAGTTATTGCCATTGAATGAGGATTATTACCCATTTTTAAAGGCAGTGCTTTAATGCCTTTCTGGTTGCTGGGTTAATCTTTCCTTCCGCTGATATCCAACTTATCTACGTGGGGGGTCATTAGGCTCCAAGTAGATCCGGAAATGTTGAATTCTCTCCTCATCTTATTGTGATATAAAATGTTTTTTGTTTCATTTCATTTACATTGGGAAATAGAGAAACGATCATTGTGTTTTGTTAGTTTTAAAAACTTTTGATATATTTGTATTTTGCATTATAAGCAGTCAACCGATTGACAAACTAGAATCATTTGAATTCCGTGTGGAAAGAGGTCGGGTTAATTTCGAGTGTTATCTGCAATCTAGATGTTTATAAATCATTTCAGTTGTTGATATAATAATTAAAAGTCGACTGAACATGAATTATATTATACAATTTAAAGCGCATTTCTGTTTAAGCACGTGAACCCGTCTAACGTTATTGTTATTTCGCAGTTACATAAAGAAGCAAATTATCGTTCCTGAATAGGTGGCGTCGTGGTAGCCGATCATGTTCCTCAACTTCCGGTTTCTGCACTGTGCAACTATTACAGTGACATTTTTAATTAACAATGCCAAGTACTTGTTGTTGTGTACCTGGATGTCATTAAGAGGAGGACATGCATTTCCAAATGACTTAAAAAGAAGGAAAAGTTGGATCAACGCCATGGCCCATACGCAGATTGGATGAGAACACGATGAAATCGTGGAGTCCATCTCAATCAGCTGTTGTTTGCAAGGCACATTTTACTGAAAAAGACTACGTGCAAGAAACTATTCATGGTAAAACTCTATTTTCTTTTTGAAATTTATAGTTATATATGTAATCGCCATGCGAATAAACCAATGTCTGTTTACAACCGCAATTATCGTTTTAGAATAAAAGGGGGTGGTTAAGGTTCATCTATACACTTTAACAAAAATGGCTGTGTTTACACCATGAAATTTTCTCTGAGTACAGACAAAACTGTGTAATTTTAAAAGTTTTAATACCTGGCAGCACCTAGATAAATTAATGTTACATCCAATTTATGTTCTAAAAAGTTAAAACACTTTACGGATTTTGATGAACATTTTCTTTCCTTGCCACAGAAGATGGTGAAATAAACAAACACCTGAGTGTTCTTTGATACAGTCCACTCATTTACACTATTTAAATCACCTTTGTTGTGAGTAGATTTCTATTGTTTCCATTGTCCATATCAATCAATATGATACAATACAATCATTACCTGAGGGGGACCATCTTAAAGATTTCACATGACTTTGTTTATTTTTACACCACCTGTAGCAAGGAAAGAAAATGTTTAGCAAAATGCACATAAGTATTTTTCTTTTTAAAACACAAAATGAATACAACTTGTATATATCTAGGTGCTGCCAGGATTTAAAACTATTAGAATTACACAGTTTTGTCTGCATTCAGAGAAAATTTCATGGTTTAAACACAGCCATTTTTGTTGAAGTGTATAGATGAACCTTAATTCAAGACGTCATAATTTTTTGGATTACGATTCAATGTGATCTGTTTGAGATTTTTTGGTGATGCTACAATTATAATGATTTCTTACAAGAGGTACATGTATAGCATACTGAGAATTATTTTAGCAGTAATTATGCTAATGTAGTAATGACAGGAATGCATAAGCTATGCCTCATAGACTTTCTTGAAAAATATCAATGACAATGTTAACAGGAACAAAACAATGACATGTTCTCATCTATATTATAGTTATTTAGGTACAAACAATGTATGTTTGTTGCATAAGTCTCTCATTGTTTGTCCTTTGGATTTACATAACATACATTGAATCAGGCAAACATAGTTTTATCCAGATTGTAATGAATAAATCTAGTTAATATTTTGCCAGGTAGTACAAAGTATACATTGCTAATGGAAGTTCATTTAATTATCAAAAACTAATGTTTTATAACCTTTTTCAGGGCGCAAACCCACCATACAGAGACTTAAGTCTACTGCCATTCCCAGCCTATTATCCTGGACCAAGCAAGAGATTGAACCGTCCGCAAAAAGAAAAATCAGGGCAGTTTCCTGTGAAAACAAAAGAACTAAACTTGATGAATATTGTAGTAGAAATCTAGAGGAAAGTTTTGATTGTAAAGTTGGTTTTCCTGCAGAAAGGATTTATGACTGTCCACCACCAACTGTCGAGCTAATGTTGAGCTTCACAGATGGAATTACGCAAACACCATCAATGCCTATGTTTTCAGCAGAGAATTTTGAAATGAAGACATGTGACACAGCCATGCATTTTTATACCGGTTTAGAGTTGTATACTAAATTTTTATTTGTTTTGACCACACTTGGTCCAGCAGCACATTGTTTGAGATACATATATTTTCAAATTGATAGGGTGTCAGTTGAAAATCATTTTTTTTATGACTTTGGTGAAATTGAGGCATTATACAACCAACTTTGAACTGTCTAGATTCTAGATTAAATCTAGTGTTAAGAATATTGTGTATACATGGATTGTTTTTATGTCTAAACAGTGGTGTGAGGCTAACACTTGGCCATCTAGTGGTTTAGTCAGTTATTTTTCGCCATCCAACTTCAAATTAAAGTTTCCTACAACTTGGATTATTATTGACAGCACAGAATATCCCGTGATAAAACCTAAAGCTCCTAGAGCTCGGGCAACCTTTTCATCATATAAAAACAGAAACACTGAAAATACTTGTATGTTCGACACCTGGTGGTTTAGTCAACTATGTCTCTAATGCATATGTTGGTTGTACCAGTGACTGTGAAATAGTTGAAAGATGTAGAATAGTTCAAATATGTGATCCAGGTGACAGTGTGATGGCAGACGAAGGTTTAAATGTACAAGATTTGTTTGCTAACTTTTTTCAAAAAAAGAAACAGAATTAGTTCCAAAACTCTTATACGGGATTGAAAAGTCTCCAATTAACACATGCACATAGAGCGAATTATTGGACTTGGCAAAACATACAAAATTCTAATAAATCCTATGAATGGAACTGAAACAAAACTTTCATCTGAAATAACATTTAGTTGTATTATGTTGTGTAATTTTAGAACTTGTATTGTGCCAAAGGATGCATAAATAAAAGTGACGCAATGAATTTTGTTCTGATATATATATATTTACAATTACATGCACATGTAAATTGTAATGCATATAAAAATAAGGAGATGTGGTATGATATTCAGTGAGTTTATTGAACCAAAGTGCATAAGAAATGGGTTTAAGCAGTTACAGGTGTTACTGTCACCGTACAATCTCCAACAATGAGAAAAACTCGTACCGTGTAAAAAATTTCAGAGATCTTACAACTAAGTTTTGTTGTCTCACCTTGACTTTGGTGAATTGTTTATATCTTTTGATGTAAATATAAAAAAGAAAATGTGGTATGATTGCCAATGAGACAACTCTCCACAAGAGACCAAATGACACAGAAATTAACAGCTATAGGTTCAACAATGAGCAAAGCCCATACCGCACAGTCAGCTATAAAAGGCCCCGAAATGACAATGTAAAACAATTCAAACAAGAAAACTAACGGCCTAATTTATGTACAAAAAATGAACGAATAACAAATATGCAACACATAAACAAACGACAACCACTGAATTACAGGCTCCTGACTTGGGACAGGCACATACATGTACATACAGAATGTGGCGGGGTTAAACATGTTAGCGGGATCCCAACCCTCCCCCTAACCTGGGACAGTGGTGTAACAGTACAATATAAGAACGAACTATAAAAATCAGTTGAAAGAGGCTTAACTCATCAGATGGATAAATACAAGTGGACGTGGCCGGGTAGTTGTACATCCAAACAACAAAAAGACACTAAGTACAGATCTGAGAGTACTCTCAGTTACTGACAGCTAATTCAAAGCCACTAACAACTGATAAAAAAATCTTGCATCTAAGACTAAATTATCAATCCGTAAGCTCCCTTTAGAATTTTATAAGTTTTAGATTTTTCTGAGTTAAGGGGTTTTATTCATTAAAAAAGGGGGGAATTTTCCAGTTTTTGGACAACAACTCATAAATGCTTTAAGCAGTTCGCATGAAACTTTGGTGAATTATTTATAGCTATTGATGTAATCTCCCTATTGATTTTCATAAATTTCAAATATGACATTGAGAAGAAATTGAACATTATTTGTTTATAGTCTGGCAACAGATTTATTAAGTATTGCGCAACAGCACAGTGTATTGCACAACAGCAAGAATATATATTCAATTCATATAACCGATTTCAAGTTCTTTGACTACATTTATTCAGAAACTATGATATGTCAAATATTTAATTACAATCCAAATTCAGACCTTTATCAAGCTTGAATATTATGTCCATTTTTGCCCCAAACTGTTCAGGGTTGGACCTCTGCGGGTGTATCCAGCTGCGCTCAGTGAATCAGTTTATTTCTTAAGAACTCCTTTTTAGCTCACCAGGGCCCTTCAGGGCCCCATCTTCAGGCCCCATGTGAGCTTATGCCATCACTTGGCGTCTGTCGTTGTCGTCTGTCGTCGTAAACTATTTCAAAAATCTTCTCCTCTGAAACTACTGGGCCAAATACCTTCAAACTTTAACTAAATGTTCCTTAGGGTATTTAGTTTATAAATTGTATCCGAAGTTTTGATCTATCGACAAACATGGCCACCATGGCTAAAAATAGAACATAGGGGTCAAATGCAGTTTTTGGCTTATATCTTAAAAACTAAAGCTTTTAGAGCAAATATGACACAGGGTAAAATTGTTCAATTGGTCAAGATCTATCAGCCCTGAAATTTTCAGACGAATCGAACAACCCATTGTTGGGTTGCTGCCACTAAATTGGTAGTTTTAAGGAAATTTTGCAGTTTTTTGTTATCTTGAATATTATTATAGAAAGATATAAACTGTAAACAGCAATAATGTTCAGCAAAGTAAGATGTACAAAAAATTTAATAAGACCATAATTGTCAATTGACCCCTTAAGGAGTTATTGCCCTTTAAAGACAATTTTACAGAATTTGTTCATCAAGTTTGCTAACATTTAAAAATGTTCTCCTCTGAAATACAGGTGAGCGATTCAGGCTCTTAAGAGCCTCTTGTTTCATTCATAAATTACTTTATACTTGGAAATATAATTTTGCTTGGAGTTATAGTTTCTAAAAAAAGTATTGTCATTGAAAGAGTTGACATGTTGCAATGTACATTTATTCTACATAGTACTATGGTACCAAATCAAAAGTTTATATAAAAGAAAGAAGTCAAAGGTTTCCCATCATAGTTTAGTTACATACATTTTTTTTGTACCTGAGGTCGTTGAATATAGATCATTATATAAATAAGGAGATGTGTTATGATTGCCAATGAAACAAGTATCATCCATACTTACCAGTAACAAACCACATTTGCAAAGTTGAATAAAATACAGTTGATAACATTTACTTATTACTAAAAAGAAAATGCCTAACAATTTTAAACAGTATTTGACTATAAACATAGATAAAAAAGGTACAAACTGGACGTAATGCACTAGTTCATAAACAAGTGAGAACAATCGCCTTCATATAGTGCTCAGAATATGACATTCATAAAACTTGTTCAATATCATTAGAGAACTCTAAATCTTAAATACTGAAAGCCACCTCTGATAAGTACACTGTACTATGCAAGATAATGATACAACTGGACTAAAAATACACACAACCTGTAATTAACTGCCTTTACAGCGCTTTCACGCATTGATTGGTTTTTTTTAGTTGAATATCTGCAGTTGAATGAGAGAGATTGTTAATAGTAAAAGTAAATAGTAGAACAAAATCAACAGATGATATGAAAATAAGAAGATGTGGTATGATTGCCAATGAGACAACTCTCAACAAGATACCAAATGACACAGAAATTAACAACTATAGGTCACCATATGGCCTTCAATAATGAGCAAAACCCATACCGCAAAGTCAGCTATGAAAGGCCCCTAAATGACAAATGTAAAACAATTCAAACAAGAAAACTAACGCCTAATTTATGTACAAAATAATGAAAGACTTGGGACAGGCACATACAGAATGTGGCAGGTTACACTAGTTTGAAGGCGCCAACCCTCCCCTAACCTGGAACAGTGGTGTAACAGTACAACATAAGAACAAACTATAAAAATCAGTTGAAAAAGGCTTAACTCATCAGATGGATACAAATAGAAATACATCTAACATAAACACAGAGTGGACGTGGCAGGGTACCGGTACTTATACATCCCCACAACAAAAAGACACTAAGTACAGATCTGAGATTATTCGCAGTTACTGACAGCTAGTTCAAAGCCAATTAAAACTAATAAAAAATAATCATGCATCTAAGACTAAAATACACATTCAACATCCAATGGATTTAGTGTAAAGACATAATTAACAGTAAGAGAAAAACATGACCTTGTGCAATGCCAAGATAAGTCAGCATTGGTGAAATCATCAGTTGACTCCTTATAGAAGTTATTTTCCTTGGACCCTGAATTTTACCCTATTTTGTTTGCAAAAACAATATATAGTAGAAAGAGTGAAATTGTCAAAAGCAAATATGATCAGTAGGACAAAATCTACAATTAAGTCAATGCGTCTGAAATATTTAGTTGATTCCTTTTAGGATTTAATATTGTCCTTGACAATTTCTAGCCCATTGTTGTGGATTTTTTTGTAGATATTGTTGAATATATAGAGAAAATGAAAACAACCAAAATATTTGACCGAAAGATAGAAATTTATGTAGGAATAAAAAATATAACCTTGAAGAGCAGCTCTCTGCCCAATTATTTTTGGGTAAACAAGTTCCTAAAATTACAAAAAGCACATCTTTTTCTCAAATAAATTATGTCCAATATTTTTATATTTTGTTTGAAATGTTTTAATATTCCCTAATTCTGCAATGCATGGTTTGCTCATAGATTGGGTTAAAATGATGTACCAAATTTATACAGTATATTACTATGATAATTTGGATAACAATTTTTGAAGAGCAAAATATCAGAAAAGTAGTGAAGATACAACACTATAACAACATTTTGACTGTAAACTTCAGTCTCCAATTACATGTAGATAAATAGGATAACTTATAATAAAATGAAAAGTGTGGAGCTGGAACAGTATAGCTCTGACAATAATTCATATCTAACGTAGAAATCTCATATCATAGTTCAAGTTGTATACGAAAATAAATCATTACATCTTAATCTCAAAAATATAGATATTTTTATTTTTATCATAGATCATAAAACACTATTAGACTCACACAACAACATCTCATATTTTTTCAGATCTGGAAGAGATTATCCAGTTTACAGAGAAGTTTGATATTCCTCGTCCTCCTGCTATGTGGAATATCTGCTATTTATATAATTCCCAATCTGCGTCAGTCTCACACTACCATCACAGACCAAGTAGACCCTGTCAAACATGATGAAAAAGACTCAATTCAAAAGTTGAAGTTGGAAAAAGAAAAGGCTGATTTTATTGCTAGTTTGAAAAGGAAACATGCTAAGCATCAGATTGATGATCTCATGGTAAATCTTTAATATGACAATTGTTTTCAGGTAGAAATGTTTTACTGTAACTAGGAAACATGCTAAACATCAGATTGATGATCTCATGGTAAATCTTTAATATGACAATTGTTTTCAGGTAGAAATGTTTTACTGGAACTCAAAACAGACTGTAATCATAAATGGACCAGGAGTACATATCATGAAACTTGTTTCTATTCTTTTTTTCCATTTCAGTCAAAAAATTAAGAGTGCTCACCAAGGCAACATAAGGAGCGGGACATTAAAAGTCTATTCTTTTACCTTATATGTAGCTCCATTGCTGAAGAGGGGGGGGGGGGGGGGGGGGTAATACCACTCTGTCATTGATGTATAGCCCACATCTCCTTTTATTCATACATAAATATCTGTATAATTGAGTTAACACATGTTTGACCATGATGAGTTTAATAAATTGAATACAAATAGACATGTAAAATAAGGAGATGTGGTATGATTGCCAATGGGACAACTATCCACCAGACCACCAGAGACCAAACCATGTAGATATTAGCAACTATAGGTCACTGTCCTGCCTTCAACAATGAGCAAATTGTTAATTTGTCTAGCCTGTGATAATTATCAATAAACAGGCAGGATAGTAACACTTGCATTCACGTCAGAGTTAAAACTAACTTCAGTGAAATCTGATTCTTATATCATGTATTCATATATTGGACTTTTCAGTCGAATGTTTTTACATCACTGAATATGAAAAAAGTCTTGTTTTATATTATTACTTTGGCAAGAAAATCTTGAGATTTTCGTTCCATGAAAAAGAATGTCCCCATCATTTAACATAATTAAATGAATGTAAGGGGTAATTTTATGCAAGCTGAGTAAGTTTGTATAATTTATTGAAAACTTTTTTTATAGAAAAAAGTGAAAAATCAAAATGCTAATGTAGCTCCTGCAGTAAAAGCTGGTGGTCATGGAGAGGATAATGTCTTGTTGCCACCTGATGATCAAAAGGAACAAGCTTTGAGTAATGATGCCAGGTTAGATCATGGCAATGAAGATGAAGATAGTGATAAAGATGACAATGTAGATGGACAGCTTGTAAGTTGTCGAAAATATTGCTGCTCAATACTTATTTCCTTATGGCAAAAATTATGTATATTTAAAATTTTTATCTTATTTAAAGAAAAAATTCCAATGCCATTTGTATGCAAACAAATTGATACATGTAACAATCTGTGAAAAAGTCATTTTGATTTTCAATTTTAGTTAAACACAACATTTTAGTCAACATACTAAAATAAAAAATCCGTATACATCTGAAATAAACACAAAAACAAAGACTAAAACTCTATCATTCGGGAAATGTTAATAATTGATCAGGCTTTGCATACATAATACAAGGCTATCACCACTGTCCAAGGTTAGGGGGAGGGTTGGGCACCCTCTAACATGTATAACTCTGCCACATTCTGTATGTGCCTGTCCCAAGTCAGGAGCCTGTAATTCATTGGTTGTTGTTTGTTGCTGTATATCATATTTGTATTTTGTTCATTGTTTTAACATAAATCAGGCTGTTAGTTTTCTCATTTGAATTGATTTACATTTGTCATTTCCAGGCCTGTTATAGCTGACAATGTGGTATGGGTTTTATTCATTGTTGAAGGTCGTACTGTGACTTATAGTTGTAAACTTCTATGTCATTTGGTCTCTGGTGGAGAGTTGTCTCATTAGCAATTATACCACATCTTCGTATTTTTATATTAGTTAAGTACCCAACACAGACAATTATATTTTACTGTTTTTGTAGAGATTTGGAGGATTCAAATTAGCAAATTATATAAGTTGCCAAAACATGACCCAAATAACAATATCTTTATTGATTGGAAGCGAGTTATTAATTTTTGTTCCTGAATACACACGATATATTTGATGATTGGTGTAAAGCAAGCAACAATCAATCGTTTTTTTTAATAATATAATACAAAGGTAAAGAAGATCAGTGGGCATTTTAAAATTAGCAATGTGGTTGTCTTTTTTTTTTTATTATTAATATTTTGATTATTGTTCTACTTTTTTGATTTTCGTTTGTTTTTATTTGTATTGTTTGTTTTGTTTTTTGTATTTATTTGGTGTTTAAAAATACCTTTTAAAGTTCATTATCTTATTGTCAATAAAGACCAACGCATTGAATAGTATTGATCTGCATAAATCAAAATTTTGAACTTTTATTGGTAATTTTAAACTTGTTGTTTGTATAAAAACATGGGACAATTAATACTGTTATCGGTCAGATTCTGTGATTAGAAAAGATCAATGTACTGAAATGGAATTAAAAAGTAACTTATCTTGAGAGTTATGGATTCCATATTCAGCCTCATTTAAACTACATTACAATTTATTACATGGCCAAACATGGAAATTGTTGCATTTGACTCTTTGTATCATCACAATCTTTCAACTTTCCTTCATTTTCATCAGCCAAATGGTTATATTGCTTCTGTTTCCTTCCATACACACACCAAATATTTTTACCTTTCCTCTAGAAAGAAAATAGAATACTTTCTTCAATAATTGTCCAAAGGGGTTGGTATGATATGTCAAACTTATACTTTTTGGCAAAATCAATAAAATAATTGACATTATTTTGAATCTGTCCTTGATGATAGTTATAGCAAATCCCAAATACACCACTTGTGGTGTGCCTGACAGAAAGGGAACTTACAGATAAGTTGACAGGTAACAGGTACTAAATTCCTCACACGATTTAGTCACCTATTAATTTACAACTCTCTTTTTGAAAGATAAAAGTGAACCAACACCTATCTATGGTAGTCGTATGGTAGGATAGCTAAAGTGGATACCTAGCGGTATACGGCGGTTGTCTATCGCATAGTCAGTATACAAAAAGACAACAACACAAAAGCTATCACTAAGTTGCGGTATCTTTTATTGTGTCGACTAGTTTCGCCACGGGGATAACTTATAATCCACATTTTTTTCTTTCAGTGAAATGAGCTTTGATTTATGATATCACCACCTATTTCTTCATAGACAAAACAACTTATAGAAATAGCAAAAAGGTTCTAGTCAATTTTTCATGTATTGCTTTTTGTCGACTCCTCCAGGATATAGAAGTAACAAATTGCTGAAAAGTTAAAATTTAAGAGGTTTCAATGGATTTCAGCATTTACTTATACTGTAAGATCAAGTTCCCAAATACTGAACAATATTTTATAAAGCATGAATGCTATTGTTTACTAATGGTTGTCTAGGTATTCATTGTATTTACAATTGATGTTATTTCAGAATCATCCACTCAAAACTGTAGATAATGATTTCAAAGTAGAGCAGAAAGAAAATTCAGCAGTATATGATTATTTTAGTCGTAAGTTGTAAATTTAAATGATAATACACAGACCAATGAGCAGAATTAATAGAAATTTACTTTTATTTTACAAGATTTCTGTTACTGAAGCCTTCATACATGTATTTCTTGGAATATTTTAAGTAATTCTGAAACAGCTAGTTCTTCATTGAAGTTGTAATAAAATCAAAGTTTCAATTAAAACAGCCCAGTATAATGTCACTTTATCACATGTTTTATTGTGTTTCTATAAATACTAATGAAATGTTTTGCATTTGTAAGTTTTATAAGTAATAAACATGTTGTTTTACAGCTTACAGAAAACATAGCTCTAAGCAGTCTGCTGTTATAGATGCTTTCAAAATTTCTTGGTCAGCCTATAAGAAATATGCATGGGGTCATGATGAATTCCATCCAATCAGTAAAACTCATTCTGAATGGTTCCAGCTTGGTCTGACCATTGTTGATGGCATTGATACAGCAATCATTATGGGACTCAAGACAGGTTTTTCATATTTAAATATTTTTAGATTACATTAATGTTATGATTACTGGAGGTATGCCATACCAGCTTTAGAATTTGTTTGACATTATAAAAAGCAAAAAACAAAGAAAAACAATCTGTTTTTAACAAAATATTCACAATCAAGCTTTCCGTTTTTTACCAATGTGGTACCAAGAATATGAGTATTTTGCATGTGGTCATATTTTGATTTATTTTGCACCTATGGTTAAAGTGTAGAAATTTAAAACCCTATAACAATCAAACAGTGCATGCACACACAAAAAAGTAAGTTATGGTATGAGTAAATAAGGCATACTGCTGTTATCTTTTTACCATAAGTTTATTTCATTTGTAAAAATTCAGTATTGGTTGGTTTGATAATGGAAGGGCAACATTAGTTTTGGTTTCAATGCATCTTGGAAAATAACAATTCAGAAAAGCTAAGGTGATTTGGATATTCTTATTAGGTCCTTTTAGGTCATAAAGCTCCCCAACTTTTCATGTAGCTTTCATAGTTTTTGGTTTAAGGATGTACACTTCTGAGGAGCCAAAAATTTCTAGAATTAAACTTTTTTTCTTAACCTGATTTTTGGGTTTATATGACTGTAAAAAAATAATTGCTGAAGAAAAAAAACATACGGTGGTGCACTTCTGTTTTTGCTACGGCCCTTTGAAAGTACCCAATTTTGATGACTTTTTCATTTTTCATGACTTTTTACCCATTTTTGGGCTATTATCGTGAAAAAAATCACAGTTCCACAATTAAACTTTTTTTCATACTTTCAATAAAGATGAAGTGGACCAATCTGAATAAATTTAACTTAAAAAAACTATAGGTAGGTGTTAATATAAGAAAGTTTTATCATATTTTGATGCTTTTTCGAGTCAAATTTACCATGTTGTCAATTTTGTAAATTTGTGATTTTTCTCTATTCTAAGAACAAAATGCGTATTATTTCAACTTCTTTGTTATAAATGATTGAAAAAATACATATCTAAGAAATTTGAAAAGATAAAAGTGATATGGGATGTACATATTTCTGGTAAAATCATTTCTTGTACCCCTCACCCATTTTATCAAAATTTTGGCTAAAAAGTCTTGACTTGATTGGTAAAAAAATTTGAAAAATTTATTACTCAAAAACTACTTATACACAATTTTTTCACAGAGTTAAGTTTCATTATAACATTTTTTAAATTCATTGATATTTTCCACTTGTATCACATGTTTTGGAAATAATCCCAGAACGAGATTTCAACGAGACTGAAATGTCAGAAGAATACATCCTTAAGTATTCTGATGAAGGTAAATCAAGAAAACAAATTCAGCCACACCAAATTTATATAGTGTTATTTTCCTTGTTACAATTAGGATAAAATACACCTGCCTGTCCAATTATTTCAATACACTATCACTTCATTGTCACTGCCTTACACGTCTATAAAGATTTGTTATTATCTGTAAACCCCATTGATTTGAAAGTGCTCATGATATAATGGATTGAGGTCACATCAAGTAACAATTGACATATGCTAAAACTAGTCCCTTATTAATGGTACATACACAACTGTAGTTTCCAGATCATTAACTAAAACTAAACATGACACCATGAATTCAAAGTATGAAAATAAGAAGATGTGAATTTATCATGAATTAAGACTCAGTCAGCAAATCACGAAAAAAGACTGTAAAATAGATTGTATTTTATTTTATATTGTAAATTAATTCCCAATTATTCAAGGGATATATATTATCCACAGAATATGAAGATGCTAGAGCCTGGATACAAAATGACCTGGTTTTCACTCATGATAGAGATGTGAATCTTTTTGAAACAACAATAAGAATCTTAGGTGGTTTACTGAGTGCCTTCCACCTGACCAGGGATAATGTGTTTAAAGAAAAGGCAGTAAGTATATTCAAAGAAGAACAACTCAAAATATTGATGTGATTTTTTTATACAAGCCTTGTGCTTGATTTTTGTTTTCAAAATGTTTCTAATACTGCATTGCATACACTGGAACACATGTTTAAACAGGATAATTGGGTTTCTTTACACATGAAAGTTGCAAAGGTGATAAATGTGCATGGAAGAACATGGGGAGGGTTGAGCTCTCATAAAAATGTTTTAAAACTGCCACATTCTAAAGTCCCAAGTCAGGAGACTGTATTTCAGTGGTTGTCTTTGGATAACAATAAACCATTAGATATTATGGGCACAGCCATTTTATGAAGATAACATGGTATTCAGAATTAAGAGTATGGCTAATCCTGATTGGTTGTTGTGTGCAGCCAATATTTTTTTATTTCTAGACACTTCGTGGGCTCTGCATTATATCAAAGGCCAAACATGACGATCTCAACCCAAATGCTGTAAATGAAATTAACAAATTCAGTAAAACATTAGGATATTAACCTGAATTGCAAAGTAGAACAAATTAAAATAGGCATGAAATATTGAATATAAAGAATAGTTTTCAATGTTGAAATACAAATATTTCCACATTTTTTATATTTTGAAATTCTATAGTCTGTTTCAAAAATGTATTTTTATACAACAATGGTTTCATTTAAAATTGTTGTGCGAAATTCATCGTAGCTGTTACATATTAGATCGGTTTTTGGATAAATAAAATCTGTACTTGATGACCTATAAAGAATCATGGGAGTTGATAGACATTATCTTCTGATCCTTTTTAACAGTACCACATTTACTCTAGAAATCAGGGGAGAAAAAAAAATCCATTTTTAGACTGGGCTCACCTCTGATAAAAATTGTCAAAATTCAGAGAGTAATGAGAGAATGTTTTGTGCATCTAGTGCGCCATGAATTGCATGATTTTAGAAAATTTTTAAATACTGTATAGGTTAGAATAAATCATTAGATATTATGGTCACAGCCATGAAGATAACATTGTATTCAGAATTAAGAGTATGGCTTATCCTGATTAGTTGTTGTGTGCAGCTGATATTATTTATTAATAGACACTTTGTGCACTCTGCATTATACCAAAGGCAAAATAAAATATTTTCCTTAGCCCTAAAGGATGAGACACATATTTTTAAGTGTAGAATTGATAGGCAAGGGCGATAAGTACACATTACATTAAAAAAAAGCCACAGGAACCATATTTTTGGGACTAAAATATACTGTCCTAATAATTTTTCTTTAATTCTAGCAAGGTTTCATTCTAAAATTCAACTGTCTAAAGGTGCATCTCGAAAAAGACTGCTATTGTAGCCAATACAAAAATCAATTGTATTTTGCAATCTTTGTTTGTTGTCTGTTATATTTGTTTTTCATTTATTATTTTGTAATAAATCAGACAGTTTTCTCTGTAATTTATGGAGCCTTATCAAAATGATTCATGTATTATATCAATTTCAGACTGACATAGGAAACAGAATGCTTCCCTGTTTTAATTCTCCATCAAAGGTTCCGTACTCTGACATCAATCTACTGACAGGAAGAGCACATGCCCCACGGTGGGGACCTGACAGCAGTACTTCAGAAGTCACAACAATACAGCTGGAATTTCGAGATTTAAGTCGTATTACTGGAGACAAAAAGTATGAGGTAATCTTCAAAAATACTAGTTTATAGGTGAACACAGTTGACACATTTGTGTAAAAAGTTGTCCACTGGTCTGATCATCGGTTTATGAATAAACCTGATTTTGTGCGGCTCTGAAATATATATTCAAGAATGTTGTGTTTTACATTTTTTAACTTTTCTTCTTTCTGGATTTTTTTAGACACGCCAACAAAAAGTATATATTGTAACACAAATAAGGTAATTAAATATATGTTATAACAATGGTCCTCCCCACAATGACCTTTCACAATGGAATAAATAAAAATAAGTTAAATATAGTACTAAAACAGCTACAGAAATTTAAAACACACTCTCAAAGGAAAAAAATTATATTGACCAACTGTTTTATCTTATGCAAATTAAAGTTGTCACCTTTTGATTGATTTCTCCTCAGCTCCCTTTGAGTTGAACTTTGTTTATCACTGTCCTGTCAGTTTTAAGATAGCGAGAGTTGTTAAAATTAAAAAACATATGAATTATAATGCCATAGTCGTCTTCAATGCTCTTCAACTTTTTTGGATTTGGCCTTCCAACTGTTTTGTTTCAAACGCCACTGATGAGTCTTATGAAGAAGAAGTGCACTTTTGCCATACCAAATTATAATTCCGGTATCTTTGGTGGTCTCATGGTAGGGTGTTCACCTCGGGTGCGGGAGGTCGTGGGTCCGAACCCGGCGGGGTCAAACCAAAGGCTTTAAACTTGGTATTTGCTGCTTCTCCCCTAAGCACACAGCATTAAGGAGTAAGAGCAAAGACTGGCCGGCTCGGAATCAGAATAATGTGTCCAGGTAAGGTGACATGTCTTCCTGCAGACTGTTACCTTGTGTACTAGCACGTTAAAAATCCAGCTCAGTGTGTCGGTCTAATACAAAGCAGGGTAAATATTCATTATAAGAATATGTCCCCCCCAAACAAGTCCAGGCCTACTCATTTTAACAGTCTCACTCCATTTAATATAGAAGTGAATGTCATTAAGGTAGATTTGATTGTAAAAAGCAGAACACAAGTGGTCTTGATCTTTAATTGAATATGCAAATTTTGAGACAGGAATGCAAGTGAATTGTAAGTTTATTAATTAAAATATTGAAAATAATGTGATTTATCGTATTATTATTCTGTTTTTACAAATACTGAATATTTTGTTGCGATTTAATTTAATTTTAACTATGTAATGAGAGATAACTCAAGATAATTCAATTTTATTAAAGAATTTTTTAATAGTAATTTTACCTATTTTGTTTTGTAGCAAGAAAACAAGTCCTTCCTCCCCAATTTTATTTTCATTTTCTGAAAGCTATTTACGAAAATTTTATTTTATAACTCTATCGTTTAGGTTTATTTCTATTCACAAAATATTTGTTTTTTCATGTATAATCTATACAATATCTGTCAATTTTGCACAACCTGTAGCTTGAAAAATAGCTCAACAGTCCATACTTTTTATTATATTTTTGAAAGAAGCATGATATAAACTACTTTTGGCAAAGTATAAGAAATGTCTATGTTTTTTATGCCCCCACTGAAGGCAACGGGGGGCATTAATTGTAACCGTTGACTGTCTTTCCTTCTGTCCATCTTTCCGTCTGTCTGTCCCATTTTCATTTCCACACTCTAACTTAAGTATGCCTCATGCAAATTTTATGAAACTCATACACAATGCTAAGAACCAAAACTCACAGACAGAATTCAAATTTGGGCAATGAGTCACTTAGCGTTCTAGAGTTATGCCCATTATAACTTGGAAAATTTGAAATTGTTTCGTTTCCACACTCTCACTTAAGTTTTACTCTTCCAAATTTTATGCTAAAAATCAAAACTTGCAGACAGAGTTTGAATTTGGACAGAGAGTCACTTACCATTCTAGAGTGATGCTCCTTTTTAACTTGGAAAATTGCAATTATTTTTTCATTTTCGCACTCTAACTTAAGTTTGCCGCGTCCAAATTTTATGAAGCTCATACACAATGCTAAAAATCACAACATGCAGACAGAGTTCAAATTTGGGAAGTGATTCATTTGCTGTTCTAGAGTTATGCCCCTTTTTAACATGTTTGATTAGATGCAACTGTGTCCCTCATACACATTCTTCTTTTATTTTATTGAGACCTCCCATCTTCCTTAAATTAATTAGAATGGTATGAATATGGTATTATAAATAATTTTGTATTTGAATACTTTTGTACAAAACTTTTGTGTGAAAAGCCTCGAATAACACAAAACAGTACACATGTGCAGTGCAGACATACATAAAACTCAATCATACCTTTATAGAATTATCAGACATACAATTACATTATTAATATTTGTATCAGTACATGACTTTTTTTGGTGACATAGTTAACCTTCAAGCAATATCAGTTTTTTTTTATACTAGATGTTATTCTGAAAAGATTTTTTCAACTTTTAAAACTGACCTTATTTCTTTTACATTTAATAAAAACCAAGGAAATAAGAATATATTGTGAGATTTGTACATGTTTTAAATTTCTGAGGATATCAATCTTCTTGGTTAAGTTTATTGATACAATTGTGAATAGTGAAAACCCTGAGGACTGTTACTATACTTGTTTTATATGTTGTAGAAAGCTGTTGATACAGTATCAAATCATGTCCATAATTTACCTAAGAAGAATGGGTTAGTTCCAATATTTATCAATGCAAATACAGGTCATTTTCGAAACTCTGCAACAATAACTCTGGGTGCAAGAGGAGACAGTTATTATGAATATTTATTAAAGCAGTGGCTTCAGACTGGAAAGACAAACAGCATGTATGTATAATTTAATGCTTTACTGACAATAATTCAAATTCATTTCAAAGTACAAACTTTCTATCAAATACAAGTTTTTTTTTTAACCAAATACAATATGATATATATGTAAACAAAAAAATCAGAATAATGGAGCAATCACATGGCTTTAAAATTGTCTATGGGTATACATGTGAGAATTCTTCTCATTATTTGATGAATTTCAAGGTGTGATTTATTGTATATAAATGTAAGCATCCAGACAAATAATGTCAGTTTGAATTACTTTTACCCATAATTGTTTTTCTATTCCACAAAGACAAAATGTCAGTTGGCATATTGTTTTATCCCTGTCCTTTCATCCTTCCCACATATGATACATAGTTTGTCCAGCCATCTCCTCCTGTTTTCAAGCTAAAAAAAATAAATTATACAAGTTGTTAGTACATATACATGTACTATAAAAGGTGTGCTTTGTGTCAGGATTTTGATTTTTTTTAAATTAACACAATGACAGGATCTTGAAATATGTCATTTTTGGGTGAAATTATGCATGAGAGTAACATGGTTTGTCAGACTAACTCCTTCTACAGATTTTAAGCCAGAACCTTTGTATTTATCTTCATATGCTAAATGTAAGTACATATAGTAAGGGTGTGCATATTGTCAGGATTTTGATATTCTTTGAATTTTTCACAAATGAAAGGATGTTGAACTTATTTCATTTTTAGGGAAATTATTCATACTTAGTAATGGTTTGAAGCTAACTCCTCTTACAGTTTTTAAGCTAAAACTTTCATAATACGCAGAATGTTAGCACATACACTAAGAAAGGGCAATATGGCAGGGTTTTGTTTTTCTTTAAATTTTCAATAGATCACAGGATGGTTAACTTAGTAATTTTTATGACTTTCATCTGAAAAATAGAATTCTCTAATTCTTACACGATTTATCCTTTTCCTGACCTGTTGATTATTTTTATTTAATCAACTTGTGGTTCATTTGATCTCAGTTCTTCATTGGTCAAAATTCGATTATGACGTCAAATTTTCTTGCTTTCCTCTGAATTTCCTATTGTGACGTCTTGAAAAAAAGAAAGGCGACCATGCCTGATGACGTCACATAGAAAGAACACATCTTTTTGAAGATCATTCGAAATGAAGGATTGAATTTGTCTGCATATCGTTTAAAAATCTTCAGAAAAACAGATTCCACCACCAAATCTTGTGCAATACGATATTTATCCACTCTCAACGGTTAAATTTGAAAATTTAACTGTCTTGAGTGGATAAATATCGTATCACACTCGATACAGTGGTAGAATCTATATTTATCACATCAGTCCCACATTCAATTAACATTCACATATATTACCTCCTGTTAACTTTACAAAACTTGAGTAATGAAGCTTGAAAGGAACTAAAATTGAATTGACCTGCATAATAGAATAAATTTTAAAGAGGAGGGGTGCATTAAATATGTCTTACAAACACCACCATTTCAGTTTGTACTTCAACATCACTATTTGCTAAATCTAATGTTTGTGCAACTATATTCATGCAATCATCTATCTTGTCTAGTATCTGAAATGGTTCAGGTATAATACAGTTGTTAGCTCAGGTACTGTGAAAAGGGAAATTTTGATTCTATTAAGATGTTCTTCTGTCGCTTTGTAAACAAAACTATGTTCTAATTCCAATAGAACATGGAGTGCCAAAAAAAAATTAAAAAATGAAAATAACACTACAGTAGACTCCGGCAAATCGGATACCCAATATGTATATAAAATTTATGGGTACGAAAGCCCTTTTCTGGATTGACCTTCATCAGAAACACTCAAAGCCAAATATTTTGAAAGCCAAGGATGTATATATAAGAACCAAAACAGTTGAATAGGATTATAACCAAAAAAGGATGTAGAAATAATAGCCAAATCCATCTTAGGTCAACTTTGCCTGAGGGAGTTAGAACCGTAGTTTCTTAATAATTTATTAATTTATAAATAGACAATTTAGGAAAGTTTTTCTTCTCCTCATTATCACATAATGGGGGCAACTTTTCAACTACAGTATGGTTAATCCTATTCTAATCCATTACTAAAAGAAATTGTACATAAGAGCTCGTAAAAATGTATAAACTTAGATAAAATTGAATTCCGTGAATCGTCATAAATGATTTTGGTGCATAAACATCATGGCAAAACATGACGTCATACAAATGAAAACTTTCAAACCGAAGGTTATTTCTTTACTTGAACGATTCAGATTTGGATAAAGTCTCATTAAAAAGGGAACTTTTACGGTAGGTTATGTTTCATTTTCGACAATATTGTAATAAATCTAACATTTGAAAATTCAAGCAATTCATAATGGCAGCCCAAGACATGTCAATTGTGGATTTGACTGTAAATATTTTGCAATGAAAAAAGTTGTCACATAAAGGTTGCATTAGAGTACTAGATCAACCCATTCTAGTCTTAGCTTTTAAGTACTGTGGAATATATGAATGGAGATCCTTCATATTTTAGGTACAAAGATGACTATAAAGAAGCTGTGGATGGTATGAGGTCACAGCTAGTCAGACAATCAGAACCAAATAAACTTACTTATATAGGTGAACTGCTAGGAGGCAGATCATTTAGTCCTAAAATGGTAAGTTGTGTAATTTTTATACTGATTATATATAAACAGAAATTCCATTAATTAGTTTATATAACCTGCTTATATTTGTATCTAAACATTATGTTGTGTATTTTATTGCTTAAATACTGTCTGTATTTGAAATTTTAATTGAGATGTTACAAAAGTTCTGAAAAGTTTATAACTGTATTTTTGAAAATTATACTGTTGATTTTTATACGCCTGTTTATGGGACGTATTATGGTATATCGTTGTCCGTCCGTCTGTGTGTCTGTCGTCAACATGTCGGACAATAACTCAAAAACGCTTTAAACAATTTGCATGAAACTTTGGTGAATTGTTTATATCTATTGATCGAAGTGAGCTCCCTTTCGATTTTTATAAATTTCAGATTTTACGTTTCCGAGTTATGGGGTTTTATTCATCAAAAAAGAGGGATTTTCCAGTTTTCAGACAATAACTCAAAAATGCTTTGAGCCGTTTTCGTGAAACTTTGGTGAATTGTTTATATCTATTGAAGTAAGCTCCCTTTTGATTTTTATAAATTTTAGATTTTACATTTCCGAGTTATGGGATTTTATTCATAAAAAGGGGGGGAGTTTCCAGTTTTCATACAATAACTCAAAAGTGCTTTGAGCAGTTTTCATGAAACTTTGGTGACTGTTTTATATCTATTAAAATAACCTCCCTTTAGTTTTTTATAAATTTCTCATATGACATTGAGGAGTTATGGAACTTTATTCTTTGAAAAAGTGATGAGGGTATCATGCGCTCATGGCGCAGCCGTTTATTCAGTTTGAAATTATATTGTATATACTCATTTAGTTATAAAGTACTGTGTAATTATACAATACAAGGCTGTGTAAATAAAGAAAAACATAGTTATAGATTAACAGACCCTTCTATACAGAATTTCTTACTAGCGCAATTGTATTTAAAGTAAAGGTAGAAATAAGATAACTTAAATTATGCATGCAATTGTATAAAAGCTCTAAAAACACTTAAGTAGTGTTTAATGTAATAGAGAAATTCTAATTTCAGGATCATTTAGTGTGTTTCTTGCCAGGAACACTTGCCTTAGGATATATCAATGGAATGCCTAAAGAACACATGGATCTTGCTAAAGAGCTAATGAGGACATGTTATGAAATGTATAATAAAATGCCAACAAAACTTAGTCCTGAAATTGTATTTTTCAATCAGGCCCAGAAGAGTAAAGATGACTTATTTGTAAAGGTAACTTCTAAATGGAATATAGAATTCCTTTCACAGAAATTTTAAGGGTCAAATTTATGTAAGTCTATTTGTATTATGAGGGTAGAAATTTAAAAAGGGTTATTTTGCAAGCATTCCTAATTGTTCATTACTAAAAGCCTAAAGGTTCCAAGTAGCCAATATTATTCATCTGGCATATATGCATTATATTGACCACTGGAAGTATTCTCTCTTAAAATGATGCATTGAATGGCATTTCAAACTAATACGCACATAGAATGAACACTTTTTTAAGCTGATTCTCAACAAAATTTAGCAAGGTTTGTCAGTAAGCAGTCTAACCCAGCTAATTTTTGAGGTCTTGACCCAATTCCACTTCTGGAAAACAAACAAGTAGGGTTCCATCCATAGTGCAATTATAATTGTTTGAGAAGGAATTTGGAATATGGATAATCTTTTATAGATAAAAAAATTAATATACTTTTTCCATGCTTCACTCTGTTTAGTATGCAATATTTTAACTTGGTGCATTTTTTTTTAAAGTTTTGTCAAAAACTTGATGAATATGCATTAAATATTTGCCACTGGATGTAAAGAAACAACAATCAAACAAAAAGTAGTTTATATTTTCTTATGAACAAAAAAAATAAGAAAATGTTGTATGATTGCCAATGAGACAACTAGCCACCAAAAGGATTAAGCAGTTATAAGCAACTGTACGGCCTTCAACAATGAGAAAAACACATACTGTATAGTAGGCTATAAAAGGCCCCAATAAATATGTGAAACAATTCAGTTGAGAAAACTAATGGCCTAATTTTTAACAAAACAATTTATGAAGAACAAATAAAACAGACATGAACCAGTGTCCTAGTTTACTTTAAAAGCATGTTTCATACAAAAAATGAATTATTTTTAATGTCTAACAGCTAAATTTCATATACTTTCAGCCTGCTGATTCTCATAACCTGCTACGACCTGAAACAGTTGAAAGTTTGTTTTATCTTCATCGTATAACTGGTGATAAAATATACCAAGACTGGGGATGGCAAATTTTCCAGGCATTCATGAAATATACCAAAGTAGAAGGAGCTGGTTTCTCTTCGATAAATAATGTCAGAAGTATAGGAAATCCTGGATTCAGAGACAAACTAGAAAGTTTCTTCTTAGCTGAGACATTAAAATACTTCTATTTATTGTTTGAAGACAGCATTGATTATTTATCTCTTGATAAATATGTCTTTAACACAGAAGGACATGCATTACCTATTTATTCTCAGTGATTGTGTGAATATTTTCAGAATATTTTGTTTTAAATGAAATATGCTCTATAAAGATTAAAATGCCTGTGTGCAATATTTTTTTATTTTTTTAAATTTGAAAAAAAAACTGATCCATAAATCTTACGGATATTTTTTTTCACTGTTGAATACAATATAAGGCATATACATAGCGAAAAAATAATATTCATTATATTACCATTCCATACTTTTCTTTTGGCTTAAGTTTATCATGATTTTATGTTTCCAAAAATTCGGAGTGAGCAAATCCAAAGAAGTATGAATAAATTTGGAGTGGCCTTAAAAGAATAGCCTTGTCTGTTTTAAGGTAAACCTTGTCTAAAGGAGTTTGAACCTTAGTTTTGTTGATATAACAAAATTAATCATCTGATAATTTATCAGATATATGTACGGGTAATAAATCATGGTCATTATGAAATAGTAAACAACATAGTAAAAATAAAAAGTTATTTGTAAAGGTTTCTGTGTTACCCTGTGTCTCGCCTGTGATTTCTGCTGTCAGTGTAAAAGTGTTTTGACTAAAAAGTGTTTCATTTATCAGTAAAATACAGAATTTCAAAAAAGAATTAAATTTGTCCTTATAGATTAGCTTCTCTCCAAGTTTCATAAAACTCCATGAAGGTTAACAAAATTTATCAAGATATGTCAAAAAAATTTAAGCATTGACTGTCTATAAATGTTAACTTTAAAAAAAAAAAGTCCATCTATCAGAAAAATATGGAAAAGTGAAAATAAATATTTTCAAAATTTTGCTCTGGATACTGTCTTTTGATCATAAACAAGCTTCTGTTCAAATGTCATAAAATTTCATGAAGGTTAGACAAAGTTATCAATGAATGAAAAACTTTAACCACAGACTAAACTTAACTTAAACTTAAATGTTGACGCCGCCGACGGAGATGCTGCTGCTGCCGCTGACGGAATCTAAGATCGCTATGTCTTGCTTTCACAACATAATGCAGCATACTCAACAAAAAGGATGAAGGTATTCATACTAAATGTCTCAGAATTACTTGCTATCCATAAACTATCTATCATATTTAGAATTTTAATAATCTGTGATCTACTTATTTGCAGTATTTAATTTTATATATAAAAATAATTTACACTAATGTAGACAGTATGTTTGTTACACCACGTTTAAAAATGTGTATAAATGCTGTATTGCTGCAGTGTATACAAGTTTTTAAATTCTGTTTGAAATTAATTTACAACTGCATGTATGCAAATATGGAATTACTGTGTGTATTGAAATACATAATTACAGTGCATGTAAAAGCAAGTTAAAGTGTGTACATGTATGTAAATGCAAATTTGTATAATTGTAATTGAAAGCTACATTGTGTATGTTCCATTAAGTGCTATGTACAGCATGTTTAAGCATTTCAGTGAAATGTGTGTAAAACAAAGTGTGTATTGCAAGGAAGCAAGTTTGCCGTGTATAAATAGATAAAAATACAGTAATTGAAAGATTTGGTGCACAATGTCAATTATTTCAAATTAATTGTAATACAATTGTTTTCATTCTAGTAAAAGACAATATGATCTGTTAAAGTTATAGTTTTGTGTTATTGATGTATATGGGCTATTTCCAGAGGATCTATATAGATATTGAATTAAGCCTTATCAACCTAGTATCTTTATTCAGCTCATTTGTCAGATAAAAGCTTCTATAGTTGGTAGGCATACCCATCCACGATGCCTTCATGGTTGTCAAGTGAATTTGCTTTCTCAGACCATCCTGAGGTGTTGTCATAACTTGTTCACCTCAAGTGCAGAAGGTTGTGGGTTTGATCACAGACTGGAGTGATTCAAACCAAATACTTAAAACTTGGTATTTTCTTCTTCTCTAAGGACTCATAATTTACAATTAAGGACAAAAACTGGTTGACTTGGAGTCAAAATAATGAGTCTAGGTAGGGCAACAGGTCTTCCTGCAGACTGTAAACTTGTGATCTAGCATATATAAATACGATCAGTGTGACTGTTTAATGCAAAGCACAGTTCATATTCATATTTCATTACAATGTTCCGGTCTTCACTTCCATGAAATACTGGCCACTAGACTTTTACCACAAATTCATCATAATCATCATTTCTCATAATTTGCATTACTTAAGAACATTGTTCACTTGTATGAGATTTTTTTAATAAGTAGGATTTGTGAAGTTCCCAACAGAAAAGAATTGCTTTCATCGTTTTTCCCAAATTGAGTTAAATTAGTTAGCTAAGCTTACTGTTACATTATCTAAGATGTTTGCTTTGCCTTTTATTTATATGGTTGCAGGTATGTTAAAATAAATTATATTTAAACAGTGTTGTACTCTTTCCTACTTAATTAGTTGCACCTATTTAACTTGTTGTTTTTTTTACAGTTTTAATGTACATGTATTTGAGAAAAATGTTGATTATAGTTGTATATATTATAAGATTTATACATTTGTTTGTCAACTTTATTTAGAATCACATATTTATTAAAATGTTCAGTGACCCATTAAATCAAATTATTTGGTTTTGGTATATATATAGTGTTTTTGCAAGAGTATGAATGTCAGATGTTAATTCCAAATTATACCAATACATGTATAACCACTGCAAGATTTTAAATTTTAATTTAATTGAAATGAATTATTGTTTAAATTATGTGTAAAGTTTTTATTTTTTTATATTATCTGTTTTGTATTCTGCTAACGGTTTTTAGTCTCACCTTGACGAAGTTTGCATATATAAGCAAAGATGCTGAAATTTTTCTAATTTGTCATCACTTTTTTTAATAGTAAAAGCCAAATATAAACATCTGTTTTTTATTTCTTACAAATTTTGAGTGCCTGATTGGAAAATGGGATGGGGGCTTTTTGGTAATTTTAAGTAGAAGGGAGAAAGGTTGATTGAATTCATTGATGTGAACAGGTAATGTTAAAGTACAGATGTTTTGTTTACATTAAGCAATGAATAAAATTGAGAAAAACGGATGAGTTCACTTATATTTTATTTGAGTTTTAGAATAGTAATTTAATGGTTTCAGCTTTCATCTGTTAGCAAGGAAAATAGTGTAATTACTCCACGGGTTATTTCTTTTACACATTTAGAACTATTTGTTTTTATTGATTAACATCAGTTGTTTGCTGCTGTTTTGAGCATAAGTTCTTATTGTTCCCAATGCAAGGTGGTGCGGGTGACATAGAAATACTGGGAGTTATATGTACAGTCTTGTAAGCAATTCTCACACGTACAATCTTCGCAACAAATTTTGCGGTCGTATATTGGTTGACCGTTGGCGTCGTCGTCGTCCGGTGTTGTCGTCTTCTGAAGACACATTGGTTTTCGCACTCTAACTTTAGTTTAAGTGAATTGATCTCTATGAAATTTTACCATAAGGTTCAATACCACAAAGGGAAGGTTGGGATTGATTTTGGGGGTTATGGTACCAACAGTTAAGGGATTAGGGGCCAAAAAGGGGCAAAAAATAAGCATTTTTGTAACTTCCAGACATAACTTGTGTTTTAGTGTGTGGATCTCTCTGACATTGTACCACAAGGTTCCATATCACAAAGGGAATGCTGGGATTGATTTTGGGGGTAATTGCCTCAAAATTTTAGGAATTAGGGGCCAAAAAAGGGGCAAAAAACAAGCATTTTTCTGGTTTTATGACAATAACTTGTGTGTAAGTGTATGGATCTTTCTGAAATTGTACTACAAGGTTCCATATCACAAAGGGAAAGCAGGAATTGAGTTTGGGGGTAATTGCCCAAAACGTTTAGGAATAAGGGGCCAAAAGGGGGCCACAAATAAGCATTTTTCTAGTTTCCAGACAATAACTTGTGTTGAAGTGTATGGATCTCTCTGAAATTGTACTGAAAGGTACCATACCACAAAGGGAAGGCTGGGATTGATTTTGGGGGTAATTGCCTCAAAATTTTAGGAATTAGGGGCCAAAAAGGGGCAAAAAACAAGCATTTTTATACAACCGTTCTAGTTTCAGGACAATAACTTGTGTGTAAGTGTATGGATCTTTATGAAATTGTACTCTAAGGTTCCATATCACAAAGGGAAAGCTAGGTTTGAGTTTGGGGGTAATTGCCTTAAATGTTTAGGAATTTGGGGCCATAAAGGAGCCTTAAAACAAGCATTTTTCTAGTTTCCAGACAATAACTTGTGTTCAAATGTATGGATCTCTCTGAAATTGTACTGCAAGGTACCATACCACAAAGGGAAGGCTGGGATTGAGTTTGGGGGTGATGAATCATAAGGGGTTTCAAAAAATTTGGGGGAGGGCTTTTATTTTCCTTTTTTTCCTTTTTTTTTCTTTAAAATTTTCCATTTTAAATTGTTTGATTTATATATAAAAGCAAATAATAATGATATGGTTTGAATAGGTAAATTAAAAATTTTCAGTTCTTAGACCACATTCATTCTGTGTCAGAAACCTATGCTGTGTCAAATATTTAATCACAATCCAAATTCAGTGCTGTATCAAGCTTGAATGTTTTGTCCATACTTGCCCCAACTGTTCAGGGTTCGACCTCTGCGGTCGTATCAAGCTGCGCCCAGCGGAGCATTTTATTGAAATTTATATCAAAGTTATTTATCAGCAATGTCTTGGATGAGTTCCAAAATTGTTCCCAATCAATTTAACAGGAATTGTGTCCCTTTGGAATGTTTTATATATTGAACGTTGCATTTTATGCTCACTCTCACACCAAAATTTCTTGTCCAAATTTTTATGAATTTTTTTTCTTAGTGGTAAACGACAGTGACTTGCAATTCTTGTAGGATGTTGATGAAAAATTCAAATGAACTGAAAAAAGAAACTACTGAATAGAAGGACATCATATTTGGTCAGCAGCTTGAAAGTGAGCACTTTTTGGATCTGTCAGAAACCTATTTCCTACTTATGATACCTTAAACTTTTCAAAATGTTGAATGAACTTTAAATTTTTCATCGCACATTTCTCAAAATACTTCTCAACAGAATGACTTAATATTTGACCAGCAGCTCAACAGTGATGAGAAGTAACACATGTGGGTTTTAATCTGTCAGACACCTTAACCCTGTTTTTTGATACATATGTGTACTTTGATTACAAGTTGGAGTATGCTTAGCATGACAACAAGTGCATTCTTGTTTATATTAAATTGAAGTTGTTCAATATTTGTTTGGAAGTCAGCAACAGAAGGTCATGTTATCTTATTTACATGTTAAATACTGATAGATGCACCATTATATGATAAAGGAAGGAGCCTGCATAAAGCTTGCATCAATTTGCTCCATGATGGAAGAGGTAAGCATTTGGGCAAAAGTTTATTTCTCATTCTTCATAATTTAAGTGGAAATCTTTCTTATCTTTAGAACAAAATGATTAAGATTATATCAACAAGCATTCTGTGAGTATTGCGTGGCAATACATAGTCCCCTACCGGTTACAAATTCATTGTAATGGAACGAAATTCTAACTTGATCTATAACTTGTCATGGTGTAAACTACATAAAAATATCAAGTCAAAATCTTCAAGCATGACGAAAAAGACTGTTGAAAACTGATTATTTAAGTGAATTTTCTATGTCCAAAGACCATAACTCTGCAAAAAATTATCAGACTGGAACATAATTCCAACTTGATCTGTAACTTGTCATGATAAAACTATGTACTAATTATCAAATCAATATCTTCAAGAATGACAAACAAACCTACAACTAAATTCTTCAAACAATTTACAAAAGAAAAGGAAAAAAATCCAAAATGTCATTTTGTATTTTAAAAAATGAGTTATTTCCCTTTGAACAAAAATCTACTAATTAATAAGTATTTCATCAAAAATTTAATTCTAGGGAAAGGGCATTAACTGAACAAAGAGAAAAG